ATTAAACACAAAAATACAAAAAATGAAAAGATTAGTCAATAATTGTATTTATTTATATGAATATGTTAAAGTGGAATATGATAATTGATTGATTGATATATTTTAATGTATTTATATAAATAAATAAATATACTTAAGTCAAATTCTTTATCCATCGATTTATTTGTTTATCTTGCAAAAATAAAACTATTCTACTTAAAAGTCTAAAGAAGTTTCTTTTAAAACATTTTTAAAGAGTAACAAAATATTTTAAGATTTTATTTTTGCCTTAAATAAACAAGAATGAAGGGAAGGAAATAAAGAGAGAGGATAAAAAAGATAAAAAATAAAATTCATAACAATTTTGTTAATTTGAATAATAAATATTGAATCTATTTGCTGTTGTATTTGAAAATAGATATATTTATTATTTTTTCGAATGGTTTTTAAATAGTTGAATTATTTTTATAACACTAGAAATTAATAAATAATAATTTAGTTTGCATTTGAAATCTTGTAATAAAATTAAATATAATTTATAGCTTATCTTGCAAATTTTATTTGTATGAATTTTCCAAAAAGTATGATGCAGCTTTAATGAAGAAATACCTAATTATTCTAGTAATAATATACTTAAATTAAAATATATAAAATTGATTTTATTAGCATCAAACACTCTAAAAATAAATTATGATCTAGTTTTTTGTGTCTCATCAAATTTATATCAGCAAAAATTTCATCTTTATCATAAACAAAAAAGAAAAAAAAATTTAAGTCATTTATTTATTTGTTTTTTTGTTTGGAGTAACAATCGCTTGAATTTCATATCAAATAAAGAAAATTATTAAAATATAAATTAAACATTTGTTCATATTTAATACAAAATTAGGCAAAAATCTTTATTTTTTTCTTGCTCTTTGATGCTTGAATTTTATTTTTGTATTTTTGTATTTTCTTTATCATTTTCAAATAATTTAAGATATAGCATATTTTTTTAATGGATAATTCAATCAATCAAAACAATTAATTTCTTTCTAACTTAATTTATTTACTTACTAATTTGTACATTAATAGTTAAATAAAGGTAAAAAAAACATTTTAAAAATATTTCATTTATATTTGATTACAAATCTCTATTTTAATATGAATGATTTTGAAGTTTGATATATTTATTTATTTATTTATTTTCTATATTAGCATATTTATTTTCTTAACAAAAATCACATACAAAATTAATTAATTTATATAAATATCTATTTGTAAATGGACTTCTTTGGCTATAAAAGTGCGTTCTAGGTATATCTTTTTTAATATAATATAATAATTCAAAAAAAAGATCATACAAAATCATAATTGAAGTTACTAAAAATGAGAATTTTTAATCTTGTTTTGTTGCTTCTGGTAGTCTTTAGCGTAGTGTCAGCTTCCAAATCTCATAGAAAGCTTAGATCGAAGAGCGAGCTCACTCCTTGTAATTCATAATTTGACTGTTAACAATATCAAAGATGTGTGAGATCTAATAGTGGAATCAAATTTTGTATCAATGGCTTCTGATCGATAGATAAATTTATATTTATATTTGTAATTTACATACATATGATATTTTATCTGTCATAAATTAAAAAAAAAATAAATTATAACTTATAAATGAGTCTAACAATTAACCAAATAAATAAAAGTGTGTATGTATGTACAGAAAAAAGAAAATTGTGCTTTTGAAATGGAAGTTTACTATTTATTATTTTTAGTACCCTTTTATCATATAAAAAAATAAAAAGTAAACTAATATGAGGGAGATTAACAAAATAAATAATGAAAATTAACAAGTTCTAACTTTCAACCAGCACAAGTTTCAATCTTCAAATAAATTTTGAAGTTTTTTTTATAATAAATAGTAATTACCGCTTACTTATTTTATAATAGTTATTATTTTAATTATTGCACTTTGTAATTATTATTAAAAAATAAAAACCTTTATTTTGTTATTAGTAATCATTTAAATAATATTTAGGACTTAAACAAGATTAAAATAAAAATTTATTTTCTTATTTTCCCTAAAGCCTTGTTAACTGCAACCCTCAAATCAAATAATTTTGGTTTTATTGAGGTTTTCCTTATAAAAAATATTTTTTTGGCCCTTAATTTATGCGGCTCTTAATTAATGAGGATTTAGAGTATATAAATAAGATTTTTTAATAAATAAATAAATAAATAAAAAAAACATTTCATTATATGTCGTATGCAAACCATGAAATTTTTGTATGGCAATTTGCTATATTTAGAGATATTATAAGTATTCCTAAAATTACAGAGCTAAAACAGAAAAATTTACTAACAACATTATTATTATAATATTTAAGAACATTAATTAACTACTAGATTTTTTCAAATATGACTAAATAAATAACTTGCCATCTCTAATTCCTACTGTATATATATTTTTAATTATATGTTTTAAATACAAATATTAAGTTTAAATAGTGAATGTTAAATTAATTTTCTAGATATCTCTTCATAAAACCAATTATATAAATTAATATTTGATAATTAATTAATTATTATATTTATTTGTTCATTTTAACCATTTATTCTTAATTAATTAATTAAATTTCATAAATTGCTATTCAATATTTTTGAAAAAAAAATAAATGATATAATAGGTTAAAAAATATAATAGATTAGAAGAAGTAATTATTAATTTTTTTATTAATATCATTTAAATCTATATTAATTAATAAAAAAAGTTTAAAAGCTCTTCACTTTTATCTCATTAAGTTCTAGATATTGATCTTATGTATATTTAATTAAAAAATATTATTTTTATTATTACTAATATTTTTTGAATATTTAATTTTCAATTTATTCAAATAAATAATTTTTATTCTAGAAATTATCATCATTATTTGTTTATTGATTTTTATTAAAACTAAAATTTTTTATATTTTAACTTAATTTTCATTTAAATTTTTAATT